TTCATTTTTTCGAAGAAGAGCTAAAGTCAGAAAGACGATCCACTGGAGCCACCGGACAGCAGCCCATAACTCTTAGTCACGCGTGCCTTAGCGACTCCCATCTGAGCGTTCTCCCCTCTGCTCCTCGCACGAAATGCGACATAGCTACCAAACCTACATCCGCTCTACTTCGTGGTCTAGTTATCTAACGTTGGTATGGTGATTATGATAACCCGGAAGAGCAGAATTCCCTAACTAGCCCCGACTTCTTTCAATCCCTCTCATTCACTCGGCTCAGCTGGTGGAATCCGAAAGCGATCGCGAGATGCCCGTTCTCTTTGTCGAGCGGGGCAAGGTGATCGCAGTGAGAATCAAGATCAGCCTCTGCCAAGTGACAGGTGCGCTGCAACCGTCCAGCCAGAACAGATTGGCACAACACTTGACGTATCTGGACGACTTGCGCCTGAGGTTCACGCCCTACACGCAGTTCGGAGGTTTGCGAAGACCTGCTCTCGGGTAAATAAAAAAAATAGTCCACTTTTGTCCTTTCTCTCACGAATTTGCGCCTAGTTCTACCCATTCAAGCTGTCTTCTCTGACTGTACAGTCGTCAACGTGGGCTCACTTGAGAATGAGACCAGCTAGTGCCTCCCCCTTGACACCGAAGGATGAAACTGCCTTAGACACGCAGGTGGCTGTCGGCAAGACGGAAGGCCCATTGGATTTGTCTGCGACTGACCGGTTGGCCGGGGCCAACAAATTAATAAGATTTTCTGCTTGTCCTTCTGGAAGACTATTCCAATCCTTTGGAAGATGAAGAGTAACTGGGTTCAGATGAATCTCTTGAGAAAACATTAGCGTGGAGAGTTGTATTCACCACATTTCATTAGAATGATGAAGGACTGACAGTTTAATTTTCCCACAATGGTTTAGTGGGCCTCGAGTTTCCATTGAATTTCACCAAGCCTATCCTCCCAAAAAGTATTCTCATCAAGGCTGAACTTCAGTTTCGACCTAGCCATGGTCTTGTCATCATAATTATGATTGAATTAATAATTACTCAAGTAATAATTATAATATAATAATTATATAATCATTAACAAGTTAATGATAAAATATATAAATATAAAATTAATAATTAATTATCAATTTACATAATTATATAATTAAAGTATATAGTTGAATCGAAGGTATGAAGACCATGATGGTGTGGCCTTTTGTGTGGTCGCAGTCTCCTTCTGTTGTATAGAAGTTGTTTGACCTTGTTTCCGCAACTTGGTCATATTGATAGGAAGACCTAGTCCAGAGTCCATTGTACATTGCAATACGTTTCGTCGGCATCGTAGTCAGTGAGTCTCGCCATTCTTAGTACCACACAACAACTCGTCAAAAGAGGCTAGTGAAGCCGGTCTTTCGACCAAACGTGTGCTAAACAGTTGTGGTAACTCCCTGCCCTGGGCTATTCACATTTCCTATATCCTCCTATCACACCTTCACTGTTACAATTTTTAACGTGCTTATTTCGGTGTAGTGTGGTGGGCTCCTTTGAGCGGAATTAATGAAAACCCTTCACACTCCACGCTGTCGTTCTCACCCCCCTTTCACCCTTGTGCTAGGAATGTTAATCAGAGTCTGCCACATTGTTACGCAGTCCTCCTTCCCTAAGTCTTATCACAGTCTCTCTCTTGCCCAGTAAGATCTGTCTGCTCTCTCACTGGTTCACGTATTTCACTCGGGCGTTATTCACCCTCCCCTGTGTCTGGGTGACTAATTCGAGGCTAAAGCCTCTGAGTAAGTCTCATGGTCACGCCTTTGCTACATTGACCCCGTCTCTGGTAAAACTGTCAGCCAACTAGCTCCAGTCTCCGCCACGTCTATCCTGTTTCTATGCCTAATACCAATCTATGACTTCCTACAAATGTTGTGGTACTGCTTGCCTTGATTAGGTTCAATGTTGAATCACAACGTTTGTGGGATGGCACACCAAGCATGAGGCAATACACAAAGTAGCGAAATTCATTTGCTTGAAGCTCAAGAAAGTAAATGACAGACTCTCGATTGCCGTTAATAATTCATATGAATTTTGTCAAAGGATCCAAAACATTGGGCTGATGGGGAGGGAACTGTTGATGAATTTTGATGTACAATTCATGTACATAAACATTTCAGGTGATAAGGCGGTAAGCGCCTTGCTGGAGATATTGGAGCGAGAAGAGGTCATCCCGGAGGTAAAACGGATACGGAAAGGATCGTTAACA